GAACAACGAGAGACCATCTTCCACAGCCGATGCACCATAAGAAACAAGGTATGTGGTTTGATAATTGATAGTGGCTCTTGTACTAACGTTGCAAGTGCATACATGGTGAAGAAGTTAGGACTCGAAACGGAGAAGCATCCTCACCCTTACAAGCTACAGTGGCTTAACAATCAAGGAGAAATCAAGGTGAATGATCGGGTCAAAATTCCTTTCAGCATCGGTAGATACCAAGATGAGGTAATATGTGACATAGTCCCGATGCAAGCCGGTCATATTCTCCTTGGACGACCATGGCAGTTCGATCGAGAGGTGAAACATGACGGTAGGACTAATCATTATTCTTTCGTATTTAACAAGCGAAAAATTTCTTTAGCTCCTCTAAGTCCTTATCAAGTGCATGAGATGCAAATGAAATTGTCAAAGGAAGGCGAGGACAACAAGAGAACAAACTTTTATGCCAAACCAAGTGTCATAAGCAAGGCTTTAGTTGATGCAAGAACTGTACTACTAATGGTATTTAAGGATGTTGTGAGTACAGGTTTTGATGCACAAGAACTACCGCCGGAGATTACACGAATCTTGGAACGATTCCAAGATATCTTTCCGGAAGAGACACCTGCGGGGTTACCACCTATGCGGGGAATTGAGCATCAAATCGACTTAGTTCCAGGAGCACCCCTTCCTAACCGACCCGCATATAGGATGAATCCCGAGGAAACAAAGGAACTACAGAAACAGGTACACGAACTTTTAGCTAAAGGTTATATACGTGAGAGTTTGAGTCCTTGTGCAGTTTCGGTCTTGCTCGTCCCAAAGAAGGATGGAACATGGAGGATGTGCATAGATTGCCGAGCTATCAACAACATCACTGTCAAATACCGGCATCCTATACCACGCCTCGATGACATGTTGGACGAGCTTAGTGGAGCCACCATCTTCTCAAAGGTGGATTTGAAGAGCTGTTATCACCAAGTGCGCATGAAAGATGGAGATGAATGGAAGACCGCTTTCAAGACGAAACAAGGGCTGTACGAATGGCTTGTGATACCCTTTGGCAAAGATAAGCCATTCAAGTGGGGAGAAGCGCAAGAGAAGGCATTCAACACGTTAAAGGAGCAACTCACGAGGGCACTCGTCTTAGTCCTTCCCGACTTTGACAAGGTATTTGAAATAGAATGTGATGCATCCGGTGTGGGTATTGGATCTGTTTTGATGCAGGAGAAACGACCCGTGGCATACTTTAGTGAAAAGCTAAATGGAGCAACACTCAACTATCCCAAATTTGACAAGGAGCTATATTCTTTGGTGCGAGCATTACAAACGTGGCAACACTACCTCTTGGCGAAAGAGTTCATCATACATACTGATCACGAGACTCTCAAGCATCTCAAAGGACAAACTTCACTCAAGAAGAGGCATGCAAGGTGGATGGAGTTCATTGAGACATTTCCCTACGTGATCAAGTACAAGAAAGGCAAAGATAATGTGGTGGCGGATGCACTATCAAGGAGACATACACTCATCACCACCATGGAGGCAAGGATGCTCGGCTTTGAGCATATCAAGGGCCTGTACCGCGACGATCCGGAGCTCGGGGATATCTATGAGGAGTGCAACAAAGGAGCATACGGATCATTCTACAAGGAAGGCGATTACTTGTTCCGAGAGCGCAGATTGTGCATTCCACAATGCTCAATGAGGGATCTCATTCTTCAAGAAGCGCATGGAGGAGCACTCATGGGACACTTTGGCGTGGACAAGACACTCGCTGTAGTAAAGGAGCATTTCTTTTGGCCACGTCTCAAACGGGATGTCGAACGACATTGTGCTCGATGTGTTCAATGCCATCAAGCCAAGTCTAAGACACACCCGCACGGTTTGTATCTTCCCTTACCTATTCCTACTTGTCCTTGGACTGACATTTCTATGGACTTTGTTCTTGGACTTCCAAAAATCCGGAACAAAGATTCCATCTTTGTTGTTGTTGACAGGTTTTCAAAGATGGCACATTTCATTCCTTGTGCAAAGACAAAAGATGCCTCTTACATAGCTAATATGTTCTTTAAGGAGATCGTGAGGATTCATGGGCTGCCTAAGACCATCGTTTCTGACCGAGACACGAAGTTCATGAGTTACTTTTGGAAGACATTGTGGAGAAAACTCGGAACCAAGCTTTTGTTCTCTACAACCTGTCATCCTCAAACCGATGGGCAAACGGAGGTTGTCAACCGCACTTTGGGGACGTTGTTACGAGCAGCTATAGGGAGAAACTTGAAGAATTGGCTGGACTCCCTTCCCCATGTCGAGTTTGCATACAACCGAGCTATCCATTCGGCAACAAAGCATTCACCCTTTGAGGTTGTCTACGGATTCAACCCCATCACTCCGCTGGATCTCTCGCCCATCTCAAGCAAGGAAATGGTCAGCCTTGATGGGCAGCAAAAGGCCGAGAGTGTGATGAAGTTGCATGCAAAAGTCCGGGAGAATATAGCAAGGAGAACGGAGCAATATGCACGACAAGCAAACAAGGGGCGAAAGAAGATCACTTTCAATGAGGGAGATTGGGTGTGGCTACATCTAAGGCCGGAGTGCTTTCCAAACAAGAGAACATCCAAGCTAGCACCAAGAGGAGATGGCCCATTCCGTGTGATTGAGAAGATCAACGACAATGCCTACCGTTTGGAGCTTCCCGGTGAGATGACCTCATCATCTCCTCCCCCTTGGGAAGGTTTTGACCTCAAAACAGAATCTCCTGCATCAAAAGGAAGCAAGTCAGCTATATTGAAAGTAGAAGATACGTTATACTCACCGGGAAGCTCCAAACGGTAGGCATTGTCGTTGATCTTCTCAATCACACGGAATGGGCCATCTCCTCTTGGTGCTAGCTTGGATGTTCTCTTGTTTGGAAAGCGCTCCGGCCTTAGATGTAGCCACACCCAATCTCCCTCATTGAAAGTGATCTTCTTTCGCCCCTTGTTTGCTTGTCGTGCATATTGTTCCGTTCTCCTTGCAATATTCTCCCGGACTTTTGCATGCAACTTCATCACACTCTCGGCCTTTTGCTGCCCATCAAGGCTGACCATTTCCTTATTTGGAATAGGCGAGGGTGAGTATAACGTATCTTCTACTTTCAATATAGCTGACTTGCTTCCTTTTGATGCAGGAGATTCTGTTTTGAGGTCAAAACCTTCCCAAGGGGGAGGAGATGATGAGGTCATCCACTTAGATGAGCTAAACAAGGAGCAAGCGGAGCAAGGAAACCATGGAACGCACAAAGGAGCTGAGGAGCACAAAGGAGCCAAGGAGGAGGACAAGCAAGGAGAGACAACCAATGAACCAGTCTTTCCGATCATTCCCGATCCACCACTCACAAGGGAACGAGCAAGGAGCCTGCGTTCAAGAATCAACAAGTTCGTGGCCAAGACCCTTGAAGACAATCCAAGAACCGAAGAAGCTTGCGGATTAAGCAACAAGAGCCTGCTCGTTTTTGAGCTCTTGTTGTCCAACACCTGATTCGGAACCCTGAAACAGCC